TACCAATAGATTAGGATCGATGCCTTTCTGTATGGAGGAGAAGTTCAAGTATTGCGTCAGATGTAGGTAGAAAGGTTATATTGGGTCCAAAGGGGTCACCTACTTATCCTTACATCTCGTCATGTGATATTCCGCCCCAAGAATTTCTCTCGTACGAGGAGGGTGGGAAAATGCGGTAAATCGCTACTGAGACCGGTAAGAAAAAGTGGCTAGACTGCAATATAACGGCAACAGATGGCCGTGCGCTTTTGCAAGATAAGTTAAACCGAACAGAATTACGAATAGCTGCTCTGCCTTAGGATTGGCGTGCGCCTTACTAGTTGAACGCGGGGAAGAGAGTTCCACTCAAAACGCAGTTTGCATAATATTATTGGTGGTCAAAGTCATGATGAAAAAGAAGATGAACTATCTGCACATGAGTCGAAATGGTAGACCCTTGACACACGGTCAGATTTGTTTTTAGTCATGGAGATATCGTCAGTACGAAGAAGCTGTTGACAGTAAACGTAGAGATGGCCTCACTGATGGCCGTGAGCCGCGAAGAGGCACAACGTTTATATAGCAGATCTGCATTGCATCTTGAGTCCTGCTCGAGGACGCCATTACGTATGTGTGCCCCCCCTCTCCCCTTCCTTTTCTTTTTCTTTCTCCTCTTTTCAATTTTCCGGATTTGTCGGTGAAGCTGGTTCTACGCATTGCCTTGCTCTTGCTTATCGTGCAAGCTAGACGGATTTGTATTGCGAACTCGTGACACAGCTAGAATGCCGACAGCACTTTCCCTGAACGCAGATCAAAGTCAAAACAGGTAGCATCCTATGGGCAATACAGTAGACAAGCTTAGAGAATTTACTTTCCGAAATAGACATAATACCGCCATGGTTTTACATTGTTAATGAGCGGCACATCTTTATCCTTACTGCCATGTAGATCAGTCAGAACATGAGCGTGCATTGTGACATCTCAGGTGCTCACCTGGCTAAATGATAGTGAGAAGGAACGACGCGGCTGACTTATGACTATACAGACTCTTATGGAGCGTATTATAAGCTACCACTTTATCTCGGTGTTGTAGCAATAGATTTCCATTGTCGAGATTCATCTTGAAGAGGTCGATTACTGTACGACGCAGTGCACATTGTCTCCGCGGAGACATACTGTAGGATCAGATCAAAAGTCTGCCATATTACTGCATTGAAAGCAATGGAATAGATTCAGAACACTATTGGAGAAAATATCTCTCCTTGACTTTTTGTCCTACGATAAAGACAACTGGGGTACTTTGGCAAGGATAATTACTCTGATGAGCATTACAAAGCACCTGCTAGTACTGAAAGATGTAGATAAAATGTAGATAGATCTAGAGACTAAGGCAAGGGGAGAAATGCCATAGATTGCGGGGATCATATCGCAACTATCATCCTAGTGTGATATCCTTCCCTATAGATCACACTAAGCAGTACCGTAGACTAAAAGGCTTTGGATATTGACTCCCCCAAACCCATTCTGGCGCAGAAAGTTGCGGCCACGGTGGATAGGGAACTCGGCAATTACCAAGATACTGATGTTCGTAGCAGGAATTCCAGCTTTTCCTAATAATTGTAGCACTGCAACAAGGGTTTCTCCGGTAGCAAGAGTATCGTCCACCACTACCACCGAAGCGCCTTGAGGAATCACATCTCGGCCTAT